ATATATATATATACACACACACACACACACACACAAAAACATCATTTGTGTCTGCTCTGAATATAGTTAAGACGACTTTATCACTCAGACTCAGAAAAAATAGATCATATTGTGAAAGAATACTGATTTATATGAATAAAGAAGCTTTTAATAAGCATTCTTTTATTGTTTATATATCCACACAGCAAATTCATAACTGCTGGGGAAAAGAAAAATCCATTTTTAGGTAGATACACCAAATAAGTTCAGGTCTTGTAAGTATGAGTACAATTATTTGCTTTTCTTTAATTTAGTTAAATTACATTTCAGTTTTTTCTTGTTAAATTATTTTAGGGCAGATTAATATTATATTATGGATTATAACAGCATATATTATAATTCAATAGGCCTGCTTCATCAGTATTGCCATCAGTGTTGTGATGGATAACAGTCGATAAAGGACGGCACTGAATCTGTGAAGTCACGCCCATGTTGGATTCAGATCCAGATTTCACATCCTGCTGACGTTGACACAACTGTTGTGAGTTGGGATTCAGTCTTCCCTGTCTTCCACACACGCTCTACACAATCCAAACATAAATTGGTAACTTCTGTCTCAGTAAGCAAGAGAGTTGGGCCGGAAATCCTGGCTTTAGTATGTGTATTATTGCTTATACTGTAGATAAATCTCTGAAGATTAATAAACCTTTGACCTCAAGATCTCATAAGCAGCTTTTTGGCAAGTGAGCTGAATTTGTGGAGTCTAGCAATATTTATGCTGGCCCTTGTTGTAAAATGGGCATGCAGCTTGTGCGTTTGGCTTCTTGAAGACGTCAAAATACTTAAGAGAAAATATAGCATTTTTGGGGGAGTACACACACTTTCCATTACCACATTCATTTCATATTCCAGCATCTTCAAATTATTTTTGACTCATCGTCATCTCCTTGACTACTGTCAAAACATTTGACTCGGATTTCCATTGTTCCCTGTGATCCTTTAAAACATTATGCAAGAAAATATCCAAACATGGGAGAGGAAGGAGTGTCTGTGGGACAATTTATTCTCTTTCCTGTTTGTCAGCGTGAGTGGACGTGATGTCATTTCGGCTGTAGTGAACTAGATGGCTCTTCATCTGACTTTTTTTTTTTTCTCATGTGAAAGGCCAGCTGTACTCCACCCTCATGAGCCAATTGCCTTGTCATGCAAGAGGACTGAAGAGAAGGAGATGGGTTCTGTTACGTGAAGGGTTTCTTTTGACAGGAAAACCACATTTTATGCTGTATTGTGTGAGTTTACTTGTTTGTGGATTTCTGCTTGTTTGTGTCAAATTGGTGCTGTGGAGTGATGTGGGCCAAATCAGGAAGTTCTAGGGTTACATATCTGTTGTACTGCCCTTTATCCGGGTAGAAAGATAAGTGTTGGGTTGCGCTTTATCAGAGAGGCTCACATACACAAGTTCCTTTTGCTGTAAATAAACTGAATAACTATTTGTTAAGTGAATTAAATGTCATTAATGTGAAAAAAAAAAAAAACATTAAAACTATTATCTCTGTTTCAGGTTATGACTTTGCTGCAGTGCTCGAATGGTTTGCTGAACGTGTGGACCGCATCATTCTTCTCTTTGACGCACACAAGTTGGACATCTCAGATGAGTTCTCTGAGGTGATCCGAGCTCTGAAAAACCATGAGGACAAGATACGGGTGGTGCTCAACAAAGCTGATCAGATCGGTACCCAACAGCTCATGAGGGTTTATGGTGCCCTCATGTGGTCACTTGGCAAAATTGTCAACACCCCAGAGGTCATCAGAGTCTACATCGGCTCTTTCTGGGCTCAGCCTCTCCTGGTTCCAGATAACAGGAAACTGTTTGAGGCAGAGGAGCAAGACCTTTTCCGTGACATCCAGGGACTTCCACGAAATGCAGCGCTGCGCAAGCTGAATGACCTTATCAAACGAGCCCGTCTAGCCAAAGTAAGAAATGAAACCTTTTATAGTTAGTTAGTTTTACAGTAATGTAGGGAGTGTTGTCTGGACACATACTTTAAAATTTAAAGTACTTTAAGGTTTTTGATTAGATAAGTAATCTGGTGTATGCAGCCCTCATGTGATCACTTTAAAAAATTGTAATCACCCCAGACACAATCCAAGTTTATTGACTCTTTTTCCTGCTCAGCCTCTTCCTTTTTAAATGTAATTTTTATAGATTTATTTTGATTTTTTTAGGTTTCTTTTAGGCTTTTTAAAATGTAATTTATTCCTGGGATGACAAAGGTGAATTTTCAGCAGCCAGTACTTCAGTCTTCACTGTCACATGATCCTTTAGAAATCATTCTAATATGCTGATTTGGTGCTCAAGAAAAATTTCTTATTATTATGAATGTTACCATTGTTTTTTCTGCATAATAACTTAATATTATTATCATTCAAGTCCCTGTAATTTTACAGATTGACAGATTGCTCATATACAGTCTCCATATAGCAGATTTATTATAAATATTATATGTTATGACAAAGCAGTTTTCTCTAACTCTAGGTTCATGCCTATATCATCAGTGCTTTGAAGAAAGAAATGCCAAATGTTTTTGGGAAAGAGAATAAGAAAAAGGAGCTCATTGCTAACCTGGGTGACATTTATGCAAGGATTGAAAAAGAACATCAGATCTCTCCTGGTGATTTCCCTAAACTCAGTAAAATGCAGGTATGAAAATATTCCCATCTCTCCCAGAAAATGATTTTAATATATAATGTTTGTTAGGAGTTTCAAAGTATAATACCATAATAAAATATAATATAATCTTAAAGTTTTAAGAGTGGTAAATGTTTCATAACAATATAGCCCCTCATTTTATGTCGTGATTTTAGTTTTATTTTAGTTTCAAAAATATTATCACACAACTTTTTTTTTTGTCCTCATTATTAGGAAGTCCTCGCTGGCCAAGATTTCAATAAGTTTCAGGGACTGAAGCCCAAGTTGCTGGAAACAGTGGAGGATATGCTGGCCAATGATATTGCCAAACTCATGACCCTCGTTCGGCAGGAGGAGGCTGCCATGCCCAGCCAGGCTGTCCAGGGTGGTGCCTTTGATGGCACCATGAATGGACCCTTCGGGCATGGCTATGGAGAGGGTGCTAGTGAAGGCATTGATGAGCTGGAGTGGATAGTGGCAAGAGACAAACCAACTTACGATGAGATCTTCTACACCCTGTCACCTGTCAACGGGAAGGTCTCTGGTGCCATGGCCAAGAAAGAGATGGTCAAATCCAAGCTGCCTAACAATGTTCTAGGAAAGATCTGGAAGCTTGCTGACGTGGATCAGGATGGGTACCTGGACGACGAAGAGTTCGCCCTAGCTAACCACCTCATCAAGGTCAAACTGGAAGGTCATGAGTTACCTGCTGATCTTCCTGATCACCTTGTGCCACCTTCTAAACGAGGACAGTAAACAATTTGGGAAAATAAATATTATCATTGAGCCAATCTTTGTAGAGGTTATGGATATGGGAGGATGGGGGGAGGGTCTGGAAGTATAAAAATATATAAACAGAATTTGATATAATTAAACAATATGCATTAGCTGTGGGCCACATAACTTTTAATTTATCCATCACTACAGTTTGTCATTCTCATTATTATTATTTTCTTTGTTTCTCTTAGACCAGTAGTTAGCAACCTAATCAAAACAAAAAAATATTAATAAAATCATATTTTTCAAATGCTTGATGTAGGCAAATTCTGTTTAAGCAAGTATGATGGCATGCTGGCAGGGAGTTCATTATGACCAAACTACAGGCTGTATTAGAAAGAGGTATTTAATTGTTCCATATCTTGCACTGATGCTGCTTCATACTTAAAGTCATGCAAGGAGAAATGGTTCTACATTAGCTTTGCCGATGGATCCATATTATCTGGATCCTGGACACACCAGAGCTTTGAACTCTGTTAAACATTGTTGTAGTTCACAATTTGTCCAATTTTGGTTTTACCATTTGGACTTGTCAATTTGATCTTCATCTTTTTTTATCACTATAAACGCAAAACAGTGCTGCATTCTTGTATTGTTTGTTCACTGATGTTGTGTTGTCAACTGTGATGGTTCAGAAGTTTTTTTGTATGAATTATAACTTCAAAAGGAAGTGTCTATGACAAGATATTCAACAGACAGAGACTCCAGTTGTATGATAGGAGTCAGTTGTAGCACCACTCACATTGGTTTCTGTCTGTTCTTGAGTGCCTCTCTTTGCTACAGTGTCAAAAGCTTCTATAAGCGTCACTCCTTCTCTATAAATACTGTTCATATGTATATTTTTTGGTCTAGTTTGCAATAAAAAAAAACTACCACAAACTGCATTTCCCTCTTATTTTTCTATACAGAGTATTTTAGTAAGAGTTATTAATAGCTATTGATTACTTTTTAAAATAAGTAATAATAAAATTATTTTAAATGGAAACAAATCATTAAACTATGTGAAATGTCTGTCCTGAATACTGGTACAGTGTATTCATATCCTCATGTGGTTATGCTGAGTGTGTTTGCATGATACCTGTTTTATGCACCTATTAAACGCTAAGCAGGGGCTGTGCCAGATCTGGGCGTATGAAGGTGGAAAATAATCAGAAGTAGCTTTATTCGCCAAGTGTGTGCAAACACACGAGGAATTTGTTGTGGTTTTTTAAGAAGCTATGATAATAATGAAGTATTTCGCTGAAAAGCATCAAAATAGTTACTCCAAAGTCATTTAAAGGAAGGAGGCACAGTTGAGATTTGAGGTTCTCAAAAGACGGTTTAAAGATGAATGCTAGAATAAATTATGGTAAGGAGCTCATGAGACTCTCTAGCATTAGCGAGAAAAAATAAGAGGTTAAGATTAGATTTTGCTTTAAAGTGATCAGTGCTTCTAAATTATTCATTCAATATGCGTCGATGTGAGGAGAAACTCTGCCGCCTTTGGAGCATGTGTACGCAAGAGGGCGTGAAAACCCCTCAAAGTTCCCCGGCTGGTACCTCCGGAAATCACGTGTGCAGATTCCAGCCACAATCCACCTGCGCGAGCGAGCTAGTGGACTTCTGATGCTACGCGAGACTGGCGAAAGAAGAGTGAGCGTTAAACATTACAAGTCGGGGGGAAAAGTTGTTTTTATACCCACACCGGTTACTAAATTGTGGCTTAAAAGCAGAGCAATGGATTTCAGTACGTCCTGCCTGTGTTTAATCAATGTTATTCTCCTCGCAGGTAAGTTTGAATTTGTTTGTTTTTTTTTTTCCCTGAGGGCTGCGGGCTAAGTCAAGCTTGCTCGCGCGCTACCTTTCCTCAAAAGTTTATTTAATTTTTTTAAATACTTTTTTTGTTTGTTTTGTTTTCATTCAGTTTTTAGATCTGTGTTATATCAGAATTTTATAATATTCCCATTTCAGCTGTAGTTTCAACCAAATTGGCGAAAGTAACGTTAGTGTTGGTCAGTTAAAAAAAAAAAAAAGGTCACTAATTTAAAAACCTAGATTTTAAAATCTTACTACGGCGATATTTAGAAACAACTAAATTAAATATATTACTAGTTGATAGAACAAAAATGTTAATAAATACCCTAATTTTAAATAGATTAATTTATTTAGAATTATTTATAAAATAATGTCATATATATCAAGCAGAATAGGAAAACATTACATTTACACAATACATATAATTCTGGTATAACGGTACTTTATACACATCTCAAATAGATGTTACATCTGTGTTATATGTACACGTTTGAAGAGTTAAATTTGTGTTTTTATTTTAAATTCGTGGCTTCTTCAATTTAACGACGCCTTGTTAATAGGAACTCAGTCCGCGAAGCGCAGTTTAAATAGCGGTTTATTTTCATGATGGTTATAAAGTCTTGTTTTATGCTGCTGTTGAACCAGATGTGTTATTTGAACATGTTTAAAGGTCACATGGAATTATTAATTTTCTAAATACGTTTCTTGAATATTGTTGTTAGTTGGCAGTGCACAATAGGCTTAACCGTCTTAAAGCCATCAAGAGGGGCTTCTTTCAGGCTGCCATCTGGCAATGAAAACTCCACTTGCACCCCCCTTCTCAAGAAGACTCCTCTGGATGTCTGAAACTGAGGTTGCTTGTTATCAAGTCTACATATAAGACCTGATATTGACTGATTCCTTGGTTGAGAAGACAAACAAAAGCACACTAGGTTTAGCAGTGGACTTGTTTCTAGTTAACATTGATTTTCTATGAGAGGCACATTCTTTTTAGTAGTTAGGCACTTCTGGTTGTTGACCGACTAGTTGTCGGTTCGTGAGAGGAAGGGAATGAGGATAACGCAAGCATTAACACAGAAACCAAACCACCCACTCCTCCATTTTATTTCTCTTGAGTAACAACTGATACTGTTTGTGCAGTTTTGGTCAAAGGTTACCTGTGTTCTTTAGATAGAGATTCAGATTGCGTAGCATACAGGCCAGCACAAGGAAAAAATACAAGTGAGAAAGAGTGGCATGGATAGGGCAATGACTTTCCGGGCTACTGGTTACTGATAAACTAGAGTCTAACAATAACAAGCTTTGTGCACACACTGCTTTTGTTTTTAATTCATATATGGAATGTGTGCAAGATTGGTTGTGGTGTTTAATCTGAGCTATAAATCATAATGCATTTTCACATTTCCATGGAAGACATTCAGGTATGTTTTAGAAGGCTTGTGTGTGACATTTATTCCTCCATGGTGTTAACCTGTCAGACTCATTGCCATCACAACAGAATGGCGAGTTTGACATTTGTGTGCTCTGTGTCCTTCTCAGTAGATGGGGATGTTGTTTTTGGTGCCGGCTACATGTATATTTCTCATTCATGGTGTCATTCTGTCACAACACAGATTATTCATAAAGGGAAATGGGAGATGTGAAGACATGGCCTTTTCACAAGTGTAATATTACAGATGTCATTTGTTATAATATATCATTTGATATAATATTCTATCTATAGCCTATAAGTAATTTTAGTTACTGGAACGTATTAGTGTAAAAAAACAGAGAAATAGTTCTCTGTATACACCTTATTTTTCCCATAGGAGCGGGTGCGGCCATTTGTAAATTTAATGTGTGAGGCTTCCTGTGTCATTCGCTTTCAGCTATTTTTAGCTGTACAAAACAGCTCGTTTTGCTGCTTGATATTGCAAACTAGTGTATCTTACCATGTTATTTTAATGTATTATCTCAATTACGAACACACTGGTTTGTAGTGCAAACCGTTTTACCATTTACTGCACTTTGATGTTCTTCTCGTTATTTCCCTACAGCGGTTAATGAACCGGAAGTCTCGCACATTCACAGAAAACGGCTTACTTCCGCATTGAAAAATAAGGTGGATAGAGTGCAACAGTTGGGTTCTGGAAGTAAAAATCCCACTCATTTTCTCCATAGGGGAATTGATTTTTAATGATAACTTATAAACCATTAAAGAAAGACCTTATGTGAGCTTCAAGGTTGTTAGCTGATGCTCTATGCCTTTGTTAAAGCCAGCAGTCTGCATTATTTCTAGGGGTGTCCCCGACTAAGGATTTTCATAGTCGAATCGGAATTTTTGAATCTTGCTGATATTCGACTGATAGTCGAATCATATGTTTGGGGGTGGGGGCAAAATACAAGAGTCAAGTCAGACATTCGACAGTCATAATTACGTTAACACACAGGGAAAATGTGTAACAGATGCCTCGCAGATACAAACGGGGTAAATAATGTTTTATGTTTTGATTAAAAGATAGTTAACATTAAACGTTAGCGAAACCCTAAGAATTCACAACATTTTTACAGTAGTGCTCTCATTATGTATATGACAGTAGTTATTAATGTTCTACATTTCTGTTTTGAGCTGTGAGCTCTGAAGATGACCAGTAGAATGAAGCAGCAGGTTTTTAATCAATGGGATTTAACTCATAATTTATCTCATATAGAATACGCTTAGTTATTTATACAACATAACGGTAATATTACGACTTTTAGGCTATCTGCACAAAATGCTCCGAATGCACATGAACGTGTTTGCGCGGCTCTGAATGAACTCCTTTTGTGAACGCGTTCTTCACGCAACAACGTGCAGAAACACGGCAACTAAACTCTAAAAATTCACAGCGTTTTATTATAATAGTGATACAAACGGGGTAAATAATGTTTTATGTTTTGATTAAAAGATAGTTAACATTAAACGTTAGCGAAACCCTAAGAATTCACAACATTTTTACAGTAGTGCTCTCATTATGTATATGACAGTAGTTATTAATGTTCTACATTTCTGTTTTGAGCTGTGAGCTCTGAAGATGACCAGTAGAATGAAGCAGCAGGTTTTTAATCAATGGGATTTAACTCATAATTTATCTCATATATAATACGCTTCGTTATTTATACAACATAACGTTAATATTACGACTTACAGGCTATCTGCACAGAATGCATGAACGTGTCTGAACGTGTCCTGCACAGGATTTTTGTCCAATCAAATGTTGTCTAGAATGAGAATGCCCCTCCCCTAAAACCAAATCACGGTTTGTGGCTGTGGCTGTTCTGTCCTATAGTCCCTAGTGTCCATTAAAGTGTCCGTTATTTCCAATAATACCGTCCACAGGCTCTGACAGGCTTGTCCCTTCACTTAGACATTAGCCAGATGCCGTCAGACATCCCTGGTCAGTCAGCACTTTTATTTTGCTCCTGTGCTTGTGTATGTGTGCAAGCTCACTCATTCATGTCTGACCCATGTTGTGTTATGCACTCAACTCCTCAATAATATCTGGTTCTCCTTTCTAAATTTTGACTCACACTTGTCTTCAAAAGCCATTAAGAACCCTACAGGACCTTCCCATTCACAAGTGACCGAGTGTAGTGTCTTGTTTTAAGCCCGTTTAAGGTCAGTGTACTGCTCTGAAAAGCTCCTCAACCTTGAGTAGACCCGTGCTGTAGTTACCTGAGAAACTACTCTGGAGACCCTGCCTGGAGACCGTTGCTAGGAGACCTGTAGCACACACGAGTCCTTGGAACGTGATTGTAGAGAATCACTACTTGGAGTGGGTTCCTGAGTGCTTTTTCCAAACATACAGCTAATAGTGGTAGTAGAACCCATTGAAAAAAGAAATCTTGGTTTAGTCTGTTTTTGAGTTTGAGGGGAAAAAAACTTAAAAAAAAAAAAAAAGGGAATATGGATGTATAATTTTATTTATATTTTTTCATTACCTAATGTCACATTTTTCAAGACAAGTACTGCTCTGAGATCTCAAAAAGCAGAGTAGATGTTTCTGCAGTGAGTCAGGCAGGTTTCAGCAGAACATGGTTCATTTACACATGGTTTATTAATAAATGAAAATTTATTGACTGTTATAAATTAAACAGTTTCTTACCAGCCAGTCAGATATCTCACCATCTAATTTTTTAATTATCGTATTTCAGTGGATTTGACAGACATATAAGACAAATAAACAAGCAAATTTAAAGTGGAACTGCTATTTTCTTTTAATTGTACTATTTTTTTTATTGTGCTTGCTAATGTGCTTGTTACTATAATGAATTAGGGCTGCCCTCGACTAAAGATTTTTCTGGTCGACTAGTAGTCGTTCATTTGAAGCATTAGTCGACTAATCGCACGTTTATAAATTAACCATTTAAATCATTATAATGAGCCTTTAATTGCATACATAGCCTAATAAGCGCTCAGGTACATGCATAAAGCTTGCTACAGCACACCGGCAGAAGTAATGATTATGAATGTTTCAGGGAAAAACAGTAAGGAGAATGCATTAACATTTTAATAATTTGATAAACTAGTGCTTTCTTTGTTTTCGGATGAATGAATGAATGATGCATTTATATAGCGCTTTATTGTGTATTGCTGTACACCCAAAGCGCTTTACAGTCATGTTGGGGGGTCTCTCCGCAACCACCACCAGTGTGCAGCATCCACCTGGATGATGCGACGGCAGCCACAGTACAACGCGCCAGTGCGCTCACCACACACCAGCTACAGGTGGAGAGGAGATAGAGTCATAGAGCCAATCAAGCAGGGTGATATGGCTATGGCTTTGATTAAGAGATGAAGTCGGCGACACTGACTCCGCAGTAGTGGATGCGCCTGTATTTATGATTCATACGGATTACTTAATCTGAGAATTTGTTTTCCATTTGAATTGGTTAATTTGAAAGTTCATTTGAATTTCACTCTCTATAGATATATTTTTAATGTCTGTAAGGCAA